CACGATAACATCGATATTGGATCATGCGATGATAAATATCATAAAATTTGTTCTGTCAGAGCAAATGATTGGCTGAATGTGCCGCGCAGCGGCACATTTCAGTCAACCATTTGTTCTGGCAGAACAAATTTTATGACATTTATCATCGCATGATGTTATTGTGCAATTATGATGATCATTGTAATAACATACAAAAAATAACAAGAAAAAAATTTATAATCATAAGAGTTTGCACGATAACTTTTATATTAGTATAAGTATACTTCGTATTAATTAAATTAAAATGTGGCACGTAGTGACACGCGCGGAGCTAGTTTTAATTAGTAATGATAAAGAATATTGGGTAAGCATTGGTTATGACGTAATGTTTACCCAATATTCTTTATCGGGTATAAATAAGTCCAATTTTCACACGTTTGAGTAAGATAATGACAACGACAAAATATCATGGAGCACAAGAAATTCGAAAAACGTACGAGGTTTCGTCTGAAACATTGAGACGGTGGAACAACCAAGGAAAAATATCAAGCATCAGAACGTCTGGTGGAAAAAGGCTGTATTCAGTGACGGATGTGGAAAAAATATTTCAAGAAAAAGTAAATGAAAAGAAAAAGATCTGTTACGCAAGAGTTAGCTCGGATAAACAGAAAGAAGATCTCGACAGACAATGTGAACACCTCAGGGAGAAATACCCAGATCACGAACTCATCAAAGATATCGGATCAGGTCTCAATTGGAAACGTAAAGGTTTCACGTCCATTCTGGAACGATCGTTCCAGGGAGATATCGATGAAGTTGTGGTTGCCAGGAAGGATCGACTCTGTCGGTTCGCTTACGAACTTGTCGAATGGATCTTTGGTAAGAACGATACAAAGATCATGGTACTCGGTTCGGATGTCAACGTTGATGATACCGAATCCGGTGAGCTTGCCGAGGATCTATTATCCATCGTTACTATCTTCACGGCAAGACACAATGGACTCAGATCAGCTCAGAACAGGGAACGACGAAGAGAGATTGAAAACCCGAGAGATACGAATGTACCCAACACCGGAGGAAAGAGAAAAGTTAAAAAGATGGATGGGAACTGTGAGGTGGACATACAACAAGGTTCTCGGAATGATGCAGGACGACGGGATAAGTGATATGAACATTATAAGGAAGCATTACCTGAACGATGAATGTTTTACAAACGAAGAATTGTCATGGGTGAAGGAAACACCAAGGGAAGTAAGGTCGCATGTAATCAGGCAGTTGATAAGCGCATTTAAAACGAGCAAGAAATTACATGGTAATAATTTTAGAATGAAATACAAAACAAAAAAAGATCGTTCGCAAACTATCTCGATACTAGCAAGAGACTGGAATCGAAAGAAAGGTGCATTCGCATTCCTGAAGACTGTGACGGTGTCAGAAAGACTACCAGAAATAAATCACACCGTGAACGTAACCATGAACAGATTGGGTCATTTCTACGCGTGCGTATCCATTCCTTTGGAAGTCAACGATAATCAAGATGGTATCAAAGGAAAGGTGATATCGCTCGATCCAGGTGTACGTACCTTTATGACTGGTTATGATCCCGATGGTCGAATTGTAGAGTGGGGTAACGGTGATCTCAACAAGATATTTAGATTATCGAAGAAATACGATAAATTACAAAAAGACAAGGATCTGGCGATCGGGCGAAAAAATAAACGTAAAAGATACAAATTGAAGATAAAGATGTATAGGATCATTGTCAGAATTAGGAACTTGATCAACGAATGTCATCATCAACTTGCTCGTTGGTTATGTGAGAATTACAAGATCATATTAATACCAAAATTCGAAACCTCGAACATGGTTCTTAAAAACAAGAGAAAGATCAGGTCGAAGACCGCTAGGATGATGCTGACATGGTCACATTATAGGTTTCGTACGTTTTTACACCACAAGGCTAGGGAATTTACGAGTTGTAAAGTTATCGAATGCACCGAAGAATACACATCTAAAACATGCGGTAACTGCGGATCGATCAATAAAAAACTCGGTGGATCCAAGATTTTTAGATGTGAATCTTGTAGTTTAGAAATAGATAGAGACATGAACGGTGCCAGAAATATCTTACTCAAACGTATCACAGAGGGTCAGGTTAATCCTGACTTTGGGACTTGAACCTGCATGGGATCCGATCTGAATAGTAAAGACTAACTTTATTTATGATTTTGGATTCAATTTCAAGGGAGTACACCAGAATCAGTTACTTAATTTATCCTTAAAATAAACAAGTCACATGTATAATGACGCAAGATCAGCAAGTCCATGTTTTACAATGCAATTGTACGCACATACGTACACACGTACACACTTTCGGACAAATAATAAAGGTCTTTCTCCAAAAGGTGCTAAGTACGTAATTTATTCACATAATGTTTCATAAACTTTTCATAAATTTTGTTATCATCCTAGTTTTCTCAATAACTTTTACCTACTCCTCACCATATGATAAAATCGAAAATGATGCACTCGCAAATATTACAGTCAAAAATGATACATTTGAAGAACAGGATATTAAATTCTTTTGTCGAAACGGAGCAAGCCTAAATTGTTGTCCTCACCTAGCGAACAGAATCGCTTATGAAAATTATTCTCGGTGTGCTTCAATAATCATCATAAATAATAGTGGTTATAATATGACATTGGATGTTGTAAATCTTGAAGATGGTCGTTGGGTCACTTCAGATGATTATGGAGATGATTCTATCGACATAAATTGTGAGCCACGTACTCTTTTAAATCTCTAATCTGAAGCTATCTCTAGTGTTACAAGTCATTTTCTTGGTGGAGTGCAAGGTTATATTAGTTATATCATTGAAGATGATAGGTCAAGTCAATTTATAATCTCCTGGGAAGTTTCTACACTTGGTCCACCTATGTATTATTTTGGTTTTCTTGATGGGTCGTATATGCAAGATTATAATGTAAAGTTCGATTATAGCCTTGGAGAAACGATATATCAAGTTAAAATTGACAAGAAAACACCATTTCCTATGTCTTGGCTTATACCAATATCCTTGTTCGTGTTCTTTATTACTATACCATTATGTTGTCAGTTTATGTCCAATGAGCAAAAAGTGGTTGGAACCGTTGGTAGACAATTTTATGAGCCCCTCGGACAACGGGAGCAACAAAAACAACAAAAACAACGGACGTATAGTAATATTTACGCAAATGACAATTGCTATGAACAACAAGGACAAAATTCTTATAATGTTTCCAATGCCAATGCCAATGATCAACCACCTCCTTATCATCAAATTTATCCCTGAATCTAGGACAATAACACAAGTTTAAATTTGAATAAACATTCGTTTTCGATTTAATTACAAGTTCCAAGTAGTGTTGTCAATTGATAATTGTATTATTTTATTTTATTATGCATATAAAATGTAATTTGTTTGTATTTATAACTTAAGCATTACTAATATATGTATTTTTAATAAATATTTGGGGATATTCAGAAATTGGAAAAACTTCTGTGAGACTGTTTTTCAGCTATACATATATATAGAATAACAATCGATTATTGCTATATTAGCATGAAAAAAATAAATCAAAGAGTAACGTACAACACTTATTAAACATCGTACCTGGAGGACAAGGTTACGCACATGATTAAGGTCTAGTTATCGTATATATGTTAAATGCTTATAGTTGGCCTTTTTTTTTTTTGGAAAATCGGTTTAGTCGATTCAATAAAAATAGAATTGATCATGTTATAAATTTATTTACGTTATAGATCTCTGAATCTAAACGTGTATTCGGAATTATGTAGATTCAAAGTCCACTTAAGTGGATTTTGGATCTTAAGTGCAGAAGTGTAACCAAAATTTATCATAAATAGATCCAAAAATCCAGACCCTGATCACCCAGGTCACCTGGAAATCCCAACACGGACCACCGTGGATTGACAACTCAGTCTCTATAAGTGGAATTTATGATATGATGTTCTGAACGAGTTGTCAAATAAAAATTCTAAGTCTGATTTAAATTTTTTATTGCGTCAGGCAGGAAATAAATCCAACGCACATTCATGTGCTACACGATTCTGAAAAACATGCATTTTTTCCATCAAAAATACTGAATCTAAAAAACAGTACATCACATGCATGAATCCTGCATGAGTCTCGGAATAATCGAAGAGTAATTTGAAGTTATCCTGATGAATCATGCGCATGAATATGCATCACAGGCATTCATGCGTATTTTTTCCGAAAAATGCACAACCTCCAAGTAATATTTAAACCAATCTTTCAACTAGATCCAGGATTGTCTAAAACATAAATACTTAAAGTGGTATTTATGTTGTTCTAGAAGTTTTATCTGGTCAAAAAACTGCTGATATTTACGGTCTTAGAGACCCACAAAAATGACATATTGCCTTTTGATGTTTGGAGTAAGGTTTAAATAGTACGGATGAAATTAAAAGGAACCACCTAACACATTTAGATTTTGCATGATTCAGGTATTTCGCTTAAATCATTTTATTCACATTAATGGGAATGTAAAAGTCATTAATTCACATACTGTTACGTATTTTACAGTGTGTAGAATATCTTTGACACCGTTTTTTTCCTTTTTGATTCAAGCCAACTACTATCAATTTTAAAGAGATCAAATCGAATTACACATCGATATAAGCATTGTATATCTTAACCAATTACATGAATGTTTTCTCATCGAACTCCTAAGTGGTTCAAAATAATTACACAAGCAATAAGCGAAGTGACATCTCCAACCTTTACACTCATAAACCCTAATCCATTTACATGGACACCAGCAAATAATTCCTCAAAATG